CTTTGCGGATGAACTGGGTCAGTATCATCAACGAATACAGGCGCATCTGCTGTCGAGCTTTTGTTTATGGATCTGACGTATATAAGATTCATATTAGGTATTTGCTTCAAGGATGCGCAGGAAGGTCCTTGCTCACCGGCAAGAATATCACATACAACATTGTTTCCAACCTTCGGTTCAAAATGTTTCAGGCATGCATCCTTCACTCGTTCAATTGTCATCTCTTCTTTTGTATAAAATCGATCTAGATCGTCGTCGTCATATAACTGGACAAATTCCCTTGGGCCGATACGTGAATACTTTTGGGCCTTGCCCGACACGTCCGCGCTTAACATTTGAACAGTTATTTCACGTTTGGAAACATCTTTCCCTTTTTGGCTCTTCCCACTCAAGCGTTTTTTTTTCATATCTTCTTTGAACTTTCGCCATTTCTCCGCCATGTTGCTTTCCGCGCGGGCAAAGGTTCATGGGATGTTATGATAGCGCTCGGCCACTGCTCTGCTCGGCTCATGGGAATTTCTCTCGGGTCGCTGTGCATTATGGTAGTGGCAGCCCTCGGCCATGGTGAAATTCACTTTTACTTTGTAATTTTAATTGTAAATCAGTATTTTGTATTTCATTTTAATTTACTTTTATTTTTCATTTTCATTTATTTTTCATTTTAATTTATTTTTATTTTTCACTTTAATTAAAAAAAAAATTATAAAGAATATTTTGGTAGTGGCAGCCCTCGGCCATGGTGAAATTCACTTTTACTTTAATTTTAATTGTAAATTATTTTGCATTTCATTTTAATTTATTTTGTATTTCATTTTAATTTATTTTGTATTTCATTTTAATTTATTTTTATTTTTTATTTTAATTAAAAAAATAAAAAGTAAAAAAATCTTTAAAATAATGTAAAATGTAAAAAAAAAACGAGTGGCAACGCTCGGCCACCATACCAGAGTTATAGTCTATGTAGTTCAGACTCTAAATTGTTCGTTCGGAGACCTTGACTGATGCTTTCAGTTTGATGCTCCGAGTGCTGTCCTGTGGAATAGATTACCTGTGCATGCAGCTAATGCTAAATCAGTTGATCAATTTAAAACACTTATATAGATTAGTCTAAAAGTTTTTATCTTATAATTATATATATTTGTTGTAATCCAGAAATATAGTCTCGTCTTTGTATGTATGTAGTTAATGTTAAATCTTCATAACTCCTGAGAAGAACATGATATGTGAACTGGATCATAGTTTATTAATAGAATAGATGGTTTGGAAACACATTAGAATAACAATATAACTCATCTCTGTTAGTCAACGTTTATTCATAAATATGTTCCTTCACCGTCATGTGTGTATTGTATTTTTGCCAAATCCACCAATAGCAATTTCCAGTTTACCCTATTGTTCGAGTCATGGATAAGTATAACTTTCCTAAAACATTGCTATTGGTTAGTTGGGCAAAAATACAATACGCACGTGATGGTGAACGACCAGATTTATGAATAAACGTTGTGAGTTATATTGTTATTGTAATGAGTTTCCAAACCATCTATTCTATATTATATCTACTATGACTGGACTCCGTGTGTCAGGGTCCCCACGGTCCTTGAAAATCCTGGAAAGTCCTTGAATTTGTTAAAAAAAATCCAGGCCTGGAAAGTCCTTGGAAAATGATAAGGTCCTTGAAAGTCCTGGAATTTTTTTTCAGTAGGCTGGAAATAATTGAAGAATTATCACCAGCCCAAGGATTATTGCCCAAATGTTAATTTTCTCCAATTTCAATGAAAATTCCAATTACACAAGGGCCTATGAGGCCTGCATGTATAATTAAGGTTATATGAGCAAACGAAGGGAGAAATATATGGGTTCCCACTCTTTCGTACCTCACTGGGTACAAAATCCCTCCCTGGTATTCACTAGGAGGCTTTACACGTTGAAAATAGCCGACGGAGCACACGTGGCCGGCGTATTTATACGTAAGGAGGATCACGTGATCTGGGCTTTTTTCTTCTGTTCACTTCCGTTACTGTACCGGAAGCGTTAAATTGTGAGCTAATGCACAGGAAAGGCAAGCCTTACCATTTGTTTTCCCATATATTTCGACCGGAGTTTGCGAAATATAATTATGTATAACAATTGTCCAAAAGTTGTGTTGCGAAGCTGATTTTCAAAGATTTTTCTAGTTGCCAGGTCCTTGAATATACTGAAAAAGGTCCTTGAAAGTCCTGGAAAAGTCCCTGAATTTCATCTTCACTCTTCACTAAAAGGTGGGGACCCTGGTGTGTAAATGCGATGTGCATCTTTTTTATTTTAGAAAGGTGCCAGTGCCGAGAATTTTTTCCTTTATATGCTGGAGAAGATTCTTCCTGTCGTAGAGGACAGTTGCAGTGGCGACGAGAACAGTGAACTCAAGCTGGATGTTTATAAAATATTAGCTGAGCTATGTGCGCACAAGATTTCTGACGAAACTCTGCGTCTGTCTGTGGAACCGATATTTAGCAAACTACTGGTAAGAATAAACGGACGTATATTCTTACTTATCTCATGTCTATAATAAAGGGTCTTAGCTAAAAGATGAAAAGTTTTGCAGATGGTAATTTTGAGTGTTTCCACAATTAGCTCAAAACACTGATACTAATACAGGTTTTTTTTCAGGACCGTAAAACGGCCCCAAAAACTCAATCTTGAATTGAGTTTTAAAACTCATTCTTCTCACCAGAAGTTTCAGTGCAGTAAAAATGAAGTTGTTTGAGTCAAATTCGTGACGTGGGCAAATTAGTTTTCAGTTGGAAACCCAGCAATCAAGAAAAAATGCCGCTGGAATTCATTTCACAACACAAGAAAAACAACGCGTTCGCTATCTTTAACCAGTTTATAGTGTCTGCTTTAATACATTGCGTCTCAAGTACCCTTATTCGGTACAGGTGTCCAGGGCCGCCGAGAGCTTTTCGGGGGACCCGGGGACAAATTTTTTGGGGCCCCGTAATCTCGGCAACTTTTTTGGGAAAAAAAATTTCCGGACAAGAACATTTTAATTGGTTTCGTGGCACTTTCCCAAACTTTTTCCATACCGAATTTCGGTACTTTGCCCGAAAAACAGAAATATTTCGCCCGAAAAACAGGAAATATATCGGAAAAAATGACTCCCCCCCCAAAAAAAAAAATGACTAGAGGCCCCCAGAGCCGGTGCTCCGGGGAAATTTGCCCCGCCCACTCCCTCTCGGCGGGCGTGCAGGTGTCAGCCTCCTGCCGCTGCCCCGGACCCCCAGCTGTGTGCAGCTAAACTTCTCTGCAAAAACGGACCCAAGAGAAAATCCTGAAGAAAAAAATGGACATTTACCCGTAAATCTTAGCTATATAGAAGGGCGTCTTGCATGGTGACCAAAATTGGAACAGCGTTGTAAATAACGCGAACATGGCTAACAAGTTCAGTTCTTCAAAAAAATAATTTTTATCTTCGCTTTTTCGGCATTCTTTTTTTTTAAAATACATTTTTAACTGGTTTAGGTATTAAAAATCTATTTGCTAACCTGCAAACAATTGCCGGAAGTATTTTCATTGTGTTTTATTCCTGTTATTGCTATATATTATAAAAAGCGAATAACTTGCTGTTTTTTTGTTCAGAAAATTTTGAGCCGGCGCCATCTCGTTTTTTCTACTGGAAAGATATGAGCTAATTAATATCCTCAATTATCAATTCCGATCAAATTGCATATACAGTAGTACCTTATAGCTCATATCCGATAGTTGTCTATATAATAACAATTGTTAATTATCCTCAGCTAACAATTTCAACAAACCACTACAGTGCATGTATGTATTTTGCTTCCCATTATAGTCGGTAAATTTCAACTTTGGTCAATCATAAAATCAGAATTCTTATTTTTAGCGCTACATGCCTCTTCCAGTTGTGAACGAAGAAAAGGCGGCTGTAGGAAATGAAGAATCCACAGAACCCCAAATTGAGTTCTCCTATGTCGAGTGTCTTATGTATAGCTTCCATCAAGTTGCTCGCAAGGTGCGTATAGAGATCACGCTGGAACTATAATCAGGCCTATAACAAAAATATCCTTTGGTTCTGGTTTCTCCACCGGCCCTCGCTTTTCTACCAGGATTTTGGACATCTGACCCGATAGAACTAATTTTTGAAGGATTTTCGCAGATGAAAATTTCGAGTGGATTTTTTATACATTTATTATAGACCTGACCTGGAGAATTTGCCAAAAATGCAACAGTCGACCCTCTGGCTGGAGTCGAACCTGCCACCTGTCTAATAAATGTATAAAAATTCTACTCGAAATTTCCATCTACCAGTCGCTTAATTATATCGAGCGAGATGCAGACTTTTAGCCAGAAAGGCGTCCTGGGACGCCCCTAAAACGAAAAATGGACGCCTTTGGGGACGCCCAAATTCTGGGGGAAAGGGAAATTATTTTCAATGATTTCCCTAAGTATATTAATATAATGATTTTTCTGTGTTGGTGTAATGTACTCAGGTGAATATGATGCTTGTGATGTTACTCTGAGTGTGTATCCACACCGGGCAAGCTTGAAAAATATGCCTGACCACGGTGGGAATCGAACCTACGACCTTTGGAATTGATATCGAAGGAACTTGATTCTGTTCCGAAATGTCACATACTCGAACCGATCTGCCCGCGTAGCTCAGTTGGCAGAGCATTGGGCTAGTATTCCAAAGGTCGTAGGTTCGATTCCCACCGTGGTCAGGCATATTTTTCAAGCTTGCCCGGTGTGGATAATACACTCAGAGAAACATCACAAGCATTATATTAATATATCTGAAACAAAATAGCTTCAATTATCATTATTATTATACATTTGACATTTTGATCGATTTGATGGTGTACCTGGCTGAATGAAGATGTCGTAGTTAAGTAAAGAAGCATAACGGCACAAACTCACAAAGCCAAGTGTGTTTGAAAAATTTCGATCGAACTTGGAACAGATACTGACATGAAGTAACGTTTTCTCGAACCCCCTCTTTACTATTTATACATGAACTTGTGGTAGAGCTCGACAATGGACTGGAATGTTACTAATTTTGTGATGCTCTTTCAAGCTGTGATAAAATTTTTGTTTAGGCTATAGTTAAGATCAAAATTTTGGAAAAGTGGTAACCATTTCCCGTTTGTAATCTAAAATGACTGAAAATTGCAAATTTCGCAAGGCTATATTATCCGCATTTTACAACATTTTGCAACGAAACTTTGGAATATTACTAATTTTGTGATGCTCTTTCATGCCATGATGGAATTTTGTCTAGACTTGTTTAGATCAAAATTTTGGTTAATTGGGGAATGGTCCATTATCTCTCTGTAGCGCAGTTGCACTGGAATCGCAGGGCCGCAAGTTCGATCTCTTTTCTACTGATCCTATAGATTTGATTGCTTACCGTCCCTATTTTTATTGCTCGCTTTATTGTTAGTAAAAATGGCGTCCGTTCCCAAAGTTCTTGCTTCTTGAAATGTTCTTGTGTTGTGGCAATGTCCACTGATAACACCGTGGCCATTTCTGACCAATGTCATGCAAGAAAAATTA